AGAATTCTGAATTTTTTTCTGAAATCTGACTTTTTCCTCAGAATTCTGACTTTTTTCCCATATTAAACTGAAATAAAATAAAATTAGTTAACTTTTTTAATTTTTTCAGTGGCCCTAATCCTCTTCCGTAAAAACGTAGTTTTCTGATTTAAATTAACCTCAGTTATTTATTTCTAGAGGTCATGTATCAAAAACAGTATGAATGTGTCTGTTTGCTGTATTATTAAAAAAAATCTATTTCTGCTATTTTTCCAGTTTGTGTCTTCAAGCCACCAGAGATTGTCAGAGTAAAGAAAAGGTGCTGGATCAAGGCTTCCGCTCTGCTTTCAGGGAATTTCAGCAATGGTTGGTTAATGCTAAGATCAATACCGCCAAATGTTTTGACGCACCTCAAAATCTCAGTGAAGCCTCATCTAGTTTCCAGAAGATTCAGGTTGGTGACATCGTTTTTTTTAATAAAACTACGACACTGATCCCCATTACCATAGTAAAGCTTACATTCTTTACTCAACCGGGTTTAAGTTATAACCTTACATCTTGTCTTGCCCTCGTAGGAGTTTCTTAATGACAAAGAACAGGGTCAGTCCAAGCTGAATGCTGTGTTTGTAAATGGAGAGCTCATCTGTAGCATCGCAGCTAAAGACAAAACCGATGCAGTTCGGGGGAAAATGAACACGGCCCGAGAAGACTGGAAACACATCATGACCAGCCTGCACAACAGAGAGACAAGTTTGCTGGTAAGCATTTAAACATTTGAGGACTGCCTTTCATTTTATTCTCTTAAGCTTTTATTCCTGAGTTTAACACTGAGGTTCTGTATTTGCCGTTTCAGAACCTGATTTTGCAGATGAAGGATTTTGAGGCAAGTGCAGAACCTCTTCAGGACAGTTTGAATGCCACAGAGCTGGCTGTACAGGAGAGTAGCACACGACTTTATGATCTCACGGCAAAAAAGCAGGAGCTTCATAAACTGCAGGTATTAATGTCCAAAATCAAGCAGACTTGAACCACCATCTTAAAGCAGACATCTTTAAGTGCATTCATCCAGTGCTGGAACATTACTGCTGCTTTCATTTGCAGAACAATCATCATTCCAGCTCAGGCAGAATTTTTAGCAATTTTTCAATTTCTTATTAGAGAGACATTTTGTTAGTTCTTACTCAAATATATGTTTAAAACTATGTTTTAGACTTTTTAAAACAAAAACATCTTTTGATGAGCAGACTGATTCCTCAGTAGTTCAGCACCAATGCATCTATAAGCCTGTAAACTGTTTTCCCCAAATTTAATTTGGGTCGGAAGTTTCCCGTACTTTTTCTGCAGATGTGCGTCTTTGTTAAATGGATCTAACCTTGCAAATAATTGAAGCGTTTTAATTATAATTTTTTGGGATTTTTATGGATACTCAGAAGCAAGTGGTGATCTGTCGGATCAGCATACCCCGTCAGACCAGCATATCCATAGTCAATACCCATGCGCAAGACATCAGATTTGCGTTTATCCCTTTAGCTTTGTACAAAAAATACACTTTAAACTACCTCAACGGGCGTATATCCCTTTAGACATGTCCAAAAAAAAAAACAATTTAAAGTCAGATCGCCATACGCTTCAAAAAACACAAAAAAGTAAAATAGTTTTTTGAAGAAGAAAAGCAAGAAGGAGCCAAGGAGTGCTGCAGTTTTAAAGTTGTGGTCACAGGTGGCAGTGACATTAGAACGCTCCATAATGCCTCTTTAAAAGCTATAAATAAGAAATAATTTATGTATATCGACTCTCTGCATCAACTGAAAATTGACCTGTCTTTAAAGAAGATGGCTAAAAATTAAACTCCTCCTGGCCAGTAGGGGGTGCACTCATGCATTCCCGCTCATTCCCACCTTTAACTGTATTGTTTGCTATTGGTTGCCAGGTCACGCAACCATTTAACTTACCTGTCAGAAGGAAAGTGGCGACATTTCTTCTGAGCCCTTTTCATCCTTAAATTGGCACCAACAACCTTAAAAGCTTCATCCTTGCTTTGCTTCTTTTTTGTCCTCTATAATCTGATAAATGTGGTGCTTAGAAGGATTCCTATTGGTGCAGAATCCTTTCGCGTCGACGGCATATTAACCAGATGTAACTATTGATGTATTTTGCACCCATCAAAATGTATAAAATAATTTTTTCTATACTTTTTTCTGTAAAATTTGTAATTTTATTCTGCAACACTATAGATGGTGTATGGGTGTATTATTTTAAAATAATAATTTTAATGATAAAAGTTATAGCTATGATATGAAATAATATCCTCAAAAACAGCCCAAAAATTTCTTCATCACTTAACAGGTGCAAAGACTATAAAATTATGTCACATTCAATTAAATCCTTTATAAGAGGCATTACCGATGTTTAGTTTTTTTGTTGTTGGTTTTTTTTACATTACAAAAATAGATGTGTGACACCTCACTAAATCTTCTGTTTTTTTGGAAAAATCTTTATTAGCTTATTATAAAGAGAAAATGTTGCATATTAGATAACGTGTTAGATTTTTGAATAATTTCTTTATTCTAACTGCAGGACCTTTAGGCAGCCTTTCCGTCATTAAGAATCATCATTATGATGGAGGTTCAGTTGCTTCATGTCCAAGGTTAAAAAATGGACAAATGAAAACAGAATACACATTTAAACTTAATCCACATCTTATCTTAGAATCTGATGAGTATTTATTTAGTAATGCTAACCATGCTTATCATGCTAAAATCTATCAACATGGCAATAACTATGAGATTTTGGAAGGATTGACAGCTTTGCTGATTACGTATGTTCTATGGCAAACAGAATTGGGGATCTTCAGATATCTAAAACTGGTAGTTTTTCTGTAATACAGCTGTGAGCGTCCTGCTGTTTACCAAAGTTACACTCTCTGTTTTAAAGTAGCAGTTTAAATGAACAGATGAAATGCATTGGTGGAATAGAATACATTTTAAGTAGCTTCCTATGCCTTCTGTCCTTCTTCTGACTTAATTTATAAACCTCACACTGATAATGAGAATAGCTGAGAATCCTTCTCTCAGTAATGACTTCCACACTAGTGAGTATTAGTGTTAGAGCTTCAGTATGGCGCATTCAGTGTTTGGAAATAGAAAGTATTTTGAGTTTCAGACTAACAAATCATTGATTAAGGGTTTGTCAAGCATGAAAGCACCCGTTGAGTTTCTGGTACATCTCTTAGGTTAAGTCTTTGTTCAGATTGCACCCCGATGTGCCTTTGCTAACTGCCAACATGCTTCGTTTGTCTTTGGTTCTCTTTGTAGAGCAACAGCTTATATCAGCTTTTCTGATTGTTTGTTTCTCATTTACTTTTCCATCTGCTCTCATCTCTAACATCCCGCTCTTCACCTTTCGTACAAACCTGTGTGTCAGCTTGCATGCCTCTGTGATAACCTGCTTGTGCTCTTTCAGTCTGTGCTTGAGGAGTTAGCTTCTCACGAGGTTCAGCTGAACAAGCTGAAGGAGAAGGCCCAACTATTGTGGGATGAACACTCGGCCGGGAAGGGCTTTGTGCACCGTGTCTCGCAGCTATCTGCTCAGTGCCTAGCTTTAACCAACCTCACCAAGGTAAAGTAATGCCTGTGAGACTGACTGTGCACTAGGGACGCTCCTTTATCTTATCCTTTATTATCATCTATCTTATCAAGCTCATGAATTTTAAAAACAAAAATTCCAGTTTATATTTGAAAACCTCCCAAACTGTTGGTTTGATTTGAGCACCCTAAGATATGACTTTATAAAAAAATATATTTTTATATCCAGTTTCCATTTACTTTTAAATAGTAAGATTCATAGGCCGTTTCTCAATTCACCAGAACGTGAGTACGTACTCGCGTTCTCGTCAAGTCCGTTCTTGGTGAGAACGCAGGAAGATCGGACTTGACGAGAACGCGAGCACGCATGTGTATTGGAACAGAAGCGTACTCGTGACGTCATCACATGCAACGTTCTTTAGCCTTTCTTTAACAGTCAAAACTATTTATTCCCTACACAAAACATTTTGAAAACAATATTTTCAATTTCTAAAGCTTAAAAAACATTTTAAAAAATTACCGCAGCGTGGATATAAAACCAGCAATGGC